CAAAGCCCCCCCCCCAACACTCTCTCCTTTTCTGATTGTAACGTGATGGAACGTTTTCAGAGTAAATGAATCCGTTGTCCCACCGTCCAGACACGTTCGGTGACGTCGGGTGCAGGGACACCGTGCAGCGCCCTTCCCACGCCCGCGGGCCGTCCTTTCTCCATCTTCTCCCTCCCTACCGCATCCGGCCTTCTAAGCTTTGTCCCAGGCAAATGCTGCCCTCTTGGTCTCGTGTGGCTGATCGTTGTACAGAGGGTGGACTTCCCTTGCGTAGGTACAAGAGACCCCAAGTCTCAACTATAATGTAAGGAGACCCCTTATTGAATGGTCAGAGGACAAAGACGAGGCAATGACACAATCCAGATGGGGGAGCCCATCAGCAGTAAGACACAATGGTGTCTGTCCCAAGTGTAACCCCGCCAGCTGACTAGGAAGTTCTTCCCCAGGCTGACCTTATAAAGAGTTAAACACAAACGGGAAAGAATGTGCCTTTGTCAGAAACCAGCGCACCAAGGGCAGGGACCACAGAGGATGTCAGCGACCAAACATGACAGCCTGGAGCTCTCAGGACAAGGTGCAAAAAGAACTCGGCCTCTGTTTTCCACCCCAGAGGAACCGCGCCCCGGTCTTCATTCCTGTACAGAGTGTGAGTGTACTAGGCCCCGAGCTCGGGACTGATGCACTGCACGCTTCTGCCTCAGCCCAGCTGCACCCAGACGGGAGCCACTCACCTGGCCCCGTGACTGCATTGAGTCCCTTCTTTGAACCTTCCACAAAGAGTTACAGGGATCCAGCCCCTGGAAGGGGACACGGAAGAGAAACGGAAACTCCGGAAGCATGCTGGCAGCAGATGATACTTCTCACTTGCAGGTGGGACTACAGAAGCAGATGGGGGCGTGATGGGGACATGTGCGTTATGCTAGGCAGAAGACCTTCCAGATCGATTCAGGGCTCTCCAACCAAAGCAGGCAGAGGATAACCCATGACCACGAGACCCAGTTTCCATGTGGGGCACACCCAGACAGAGTCCTGGAAGCCTAGGCTTCCTTTCCCGGGCTGCCTAGGGGAGTAGCAGCAATCCACTCTCTGATGCACCCTGCTTGAGGGCCAGGCCACTCACACTGCTGGCTCAACGGTCAGACCGACAAGACCAGTGGTATACCTATAAGACCAGCCACAATGATTATTCAAGTGTTAGTCCCTAATGCCAAAGAGGAGGCCTAGAAGTGATCAAAGAGGCAGTCAAGATGCATTGATAATTATTGCTTATTGGAAAGTGAAAGTTGGAAGTGAAGAAGGATCAATAGTTGGAAAATATGGCCTCAGTGATAAACAGGACACTGGACATTGCATGTTAGATTTTTGTAAGACCGAAAACTTATTAACTGGAAATATCCCTTTCAACACCATAAATGTTGACGATACACTTGACCCCATATAAAATACACAGAAATTGAACTGTGCACCTCTGGAAAGAGGCGATGGAGAAGTTCAATACTATCAATCAGAACAAGGCCTGGGGCCAATGGCAGAACAGACCGTCAGCAGCTCATATGCAAATTCAAGTTGAAGCTGGAAAAAAAAGAAATTTAAACAAGTGAACAAGAGCCAAAGTATGACCTTGAGTGTGTTGTTGCAGTTGTTAAGTGCTGCCAAGTTGGCTCTGACTCAGAGCATCTCTGCATAGAACAGACCAGAACACCGCCCGGCCTGCAGCACCCTAATGCTTGCTGTGGCCCAGCCCATCGTGGGAGCCACGGTTCACCGATTCACCTCGTTAAGGGTCTTCCTCTTTTCCACGGCTCCTTAACGTGTCCAAGCATGATGCTCCTTTCCAGGGACTGGTCTCTCCTGATGACCTGTCCAAAGTATGTGAGACAGAGTCTCCCCATCCTTGCTCCTAAGGAGCATTCTGGCTGTACTTCTTACCAGACAGATTTCTTGGCTCCTCCGGCAGCCCATGGTACTGCCAGGGTTCATACTTCATCAGCGTCACGATTCAGGTGCATCTGTTTGTTCATTGTCCAGCTTTTAGGCAGCACCTGGAAATGCCGTTGCTTGGGCCGGGAGCACTTTAGCCCTGGAAGTGACATCTTTGCTCTTGAACGCTTTAAAGGATCTTTTTGTAGCAGATTTGCAACACGTCTGATTTCTTGGCTGCTGGTTCCGTAAGTGCTCATTCTGAATTCCTTCGCAACTGAGGCCTTTTCTGTTTATGACGATGCTGTTCACTGGTTCATTTGTGAGGATTTTTGTTTTCTTTAACCCTATTTCCTACCTGAATTTAAAGACTGAATTGAGAACAGATTTGATGCATTAAACCCTAGTGACCGAAGGCCAGATGAGTTATGGAAGAAATCAGAGACATCACCCAGACATCACCCACTACGGGAAAGACAGGAAGGAAAGCAAAGGCCAACGTGGACTCCGAAACCGAGATGCTGACATGGGACAGCTGAGCAGACGATCTTCAAGGGCAGCTCAAGACAAAGCCAATGATTGCCACGGAATGTGCCAAGACCGGGAGGTAGAACACGAGAAAGAAAGAGCTCGCCGGGCATTTCTCAGGCTGCAAGAACGCACGACAACATTCCAGGCTGCAGTGGCACAGTTGAAGGATCCCGTGGCTGCCCCGTGGCTGTCCCGTGGGCTGGATACAACGGCTGTGAGGCTGGCACAGGACTCAGCAGCGGCTCTTTCTGTTGTGCACAGGGTCACTGGGAGTCAGCTGACCTGGTGGTACCTCACGACGACAAGGCGGTCAACATGCCGAGCAGCACAGGAAGCAGCCCAAGAAGATGGAAGGACTGTACAGAGTGACCAAAAAGACGCAGCCCACCTGCAACCACTTTCGAAGTGACGCATCATGAAGAGCCTATTGGATCGAAGGAAGAGGGTCCGCCTCACAGAAGACACTGTTGACAAGCAAGGCTCTCGGAACTGATGGAAGGTCAGTGGGCAGGCTTAAACCAATGGATGGGGCACCGTGGGAGGTGCTTGCCCGCCTGTGCCCACCAGCTGGCACAGATGCACAGGAGCGCCTGTTCCAGAGAAAGGTGGTCCCAGAGAAAGGTGGTCCGGCACAGTGGAAATCACCAGGTCATCTCATGAACCTCACGTGCAAATGACATTTGGCTGACGAGAATACAAAAACGGTTGTAGCAACCCGTCAGCAGAGAGCTGCCCTGCCAGAAATGCGAGCTGTCTTCAGAAGAGGGTGTATAGTGGGGGGCGGGGGGAGCACTTCTGATATCAGACGGCTCATGACCGAAAGACGAGAACACCAGAAAGATGTTTACCGGTGTTTTATTGACTATGCAAAGGCAGGCCACTGTGGTGGGGCTGTGACACGTTACGGGTAACACAACAAAGAAGGGGAATCCCAGAAGACTTCATTGTGCTCATACAGAACCTATATAGACCCAGAAGCACGAGTTTGGACAGAGCATGGGGCGGCTGCCTGGTTTAAAATCAGGACAGTTGTGTATAGCAGGGCTGCATCCTTTCCCCATACCTATTCCATCCGCACGCTGAACCGATAACCAAGGGGCTGTAGCCTGCCAAGAAGAATGAGGCATTGGAGGAAAGGAAAACTCATTAACCACCGGGGCTTCTTTCATTCCCCCCAAACCCAAACCACGGCCATGGGCCCATTCCAACCCTGCAGGACAGCCCCACAGCCTGTGAGCATGACGGGAGTTGATTGCCACATCTTTCTCGCAGGGAGCAGCTGGTGGATTTGAACCACCAACCTTGTGGTTATCAGCCAATTACTTTAAACACTGTGTCAACAGGGTTCCTCCTTCAGCCCCTAGTACTACATAGCGTACATATTCAGCCAGCCAAGTGGCTGGGCTTCCCACTGACGGTGAGCTCCCGGGGGCAGAGGCTAAGTCAAGCAGATGGGCCCTTGCAATGTGGGTGAGCCTGACCCAGTCAGTGGCCTTGAGCTCTGGGAGCAGAGGCTGCCGTCTGCTTGGTCTGTGCTGGGCTCCTAGAATTGGTCCAACCTGGCAACCTGGTACTTGCAGAGTGAGGGAAGGAATGAGTGGTTCTAGCAGAGGGCACAGGAGGAGTACGTGGATGACTTTATCAAAGGTGGGGTGGAGGAATGAATGAATGACTAATAGAGGTGGGGTAAGGGAATCAATGAATGGTTTTCAGAGTAGGTGGAGGAATTAATGAATGACTAGTAGGGTAAGTGGAGGAAAAAGCGAGACTAGCAGAGTTGGGGTGGAAGAATGAGTGAATGACTAGCAGGGCAAGTGGAGGAATGAGTGATTCCAGGGGAGGACAGAGACTGGTGGTGCAGGGGGAGGGGACCAGAACTGTAGTGGACGTCTGGGAGGAGGGGATCCCAGTCATGCAGCGAGGGATGGCAGCTGCGTCCACCCTGGTAGCACAGGAAGGGAGAAGGGCCCCCCTGCTGGGCACGAGCTCCATGGGGGGGGGCATGCATGGGTGTGAGAGGGTGTGAAGCAATAGTGTGAAGAGTGTGAGCTCTTCAGCTCACTAGACTGTGGTGCCCAGTGGCTGGATCACACACTAGGCTAGATGCTGTGACGAAGCAGGCACGTGTGAAGAAATCAGCTGACCTTAAGTCAAGCAGAGGATCCTCCACCATGTGGGTGGGCCTGACCCAGTCAGTGGAGGGTCTGAAGAGTCAAGCCAAAGCTTTTTCAAGGAAGAGGTGTCCTGCTACAGGACTGTCACACACACGTTATCGACATGCCGTCCTATGTATTTACCTTTTTATTGGGAAGGTGTGGGGGTGAAGGGGCATGCAACCATCCATACACGTGTTGCCTGCACTCATCCGCGGTGTCAACATGTACATATCTCTATGCAGTACACACATACAGACACATGCTTTGTATGTGCATGGTTATCGTGTGCCATGGGGACAGTGGACACTCGCAGGGACCGTACAGGACAGGGTAGACCGGCCCAAAGGGCATTCCAGGATGCCGTCTTCGTGGTTGCTGGTCACCAGGTCTCCATCACAGCTGCTGGGGGGTTCAAACTGCCGACCTCTGGCCAGCCGCTGAGCACTTAACTGTTGGGCCAGCAGGGAGCTGGCCTTGGGCTTTATACTTACATTCACGTGCGTAGGCTCCCTGTCTAACACAGCGCGCACGGATGAGAACCTTCCAGAAAGGGCAGCTTTGTCCACTGCCAAGGGCTGCCACTCCACAGCCTGAGGCAGGCACCAGGCGGAGCGCGGAGCAGGGGGAGGTGTGGCAGGAGCCCTGGTGCAGGGGTGGGGGCCTGTGAGCGGGAGGTGAGGGTGGGGGCAGTAGGGGGCAGATGTGGAGGAGCTGGGGTGCCCTGAGGTCAGCGTCCCCTCTATCCTCCGCCCTCCCATTGTGGTCCCTGGGTGAGACCTGTGGATCGGCTTTGCAGCAATCCTGCAAGGACACGCGTGGGGCTGCCACCACTCAGAGTGGCTTGAAAGCCACAGGGTTGGCCTTTATTTCCCTTTGAGCCCTGGTGGCATAGTGGTTATGCATTGGGCTGCTAACTCAAGGTCAGCAGTTCGAAACCACCAGCTGCTCCCCTTCAGGTGCCCCATAGGGCTGCTGTGAGACCGGAGGGCAGTGAGTTTGGTGTTTGGGTTTTGATTAGACAGGTCAGCTGGGACCTCAAGTAGCCGGCCCAGTCCCAGCCTGGACTACGGGCCCTCCCTACCTCACTGGCCACGTGCCCATTGATGGAGCTGTCCCTGGACACCTCGGACCAGGTTGGGGTGACCCATGTGGAGGAGTATTCTGGAGCCAGCCCCAGTGGGCGCCAGAGGGGCTGGATGTGCTGGGCCAGCGGCCACCAGGAGGCTCCCGAGAGTCCTTCTGCCCAAGGGTCCCGCCCAGCCCAGCGGGCTGGGTCTCTATCCAGCCCTCACACTGCCCAGCGCACGCTGCCCTGGTGGAGGGCCTTTCCTGAGATGTGGGGGCTGCCTCGCTGGGGGGCATGGCCCTCTCTCCTTGAGGCCAGCCTGGGGGGCCTGGTGGCAGCTGCCCTCCTCCTCCTGCGCTGTGGGGGTTCCTTACAGGGGCAGCAGGTAGGTGCTTTACAGCAGTGCCGGGGCTGGGTGCCGAGGTGGGTCCCCTGGGGGTGGGCGAGTTCCTTTGGTTGACCAGGGAGGCTTTAGGGTCTGTCAGTCCTGTTGGAGGGCCAGGCCAGGAGTCGGCCTGCCTTCGACCTGTAGTGGCCTGCCCGCTCCCCCGGCCTGCCCCCTCCAGCCCCTCCTCCTCCGTCCCTTGGTTTTGCAGGGTTTTCTTCAGGCTCTGGGGCCAGAGGAAGTGGGCCCGCGGTCAAGCGGTAAAGGTACTTTCAGGATGTTGTCTTACAAGGGGAGTTTCCCAGGCCCCGGGTGGAGGCCAGGGGGTGAGCTGGAGACTTGTTGTTGGAGTTCTGAGCCCACGGGTCTGGTTGTAGATTTTGCGCGTCAGGCTCCTGGCAGGGCTCCAAGGGTCTGGTGGGAGCTCTGGTAATTAAGTGGGTTACTTCCTGCCAAGTTGACAAGGGCCAAGCCGCTGACCCCGCCGCTGGGTTCGGCTCCAGGCTCTTCTGGGATGGTTCAGTGCCAGGGCCCCCGGGTTCTGGCCGAGGATGTAAACATTTATTCCTTCTGTGAGGGGTGAGATTGGAGCAGGGTCATCCCCAGCCCCCTCCTCTGGATTGCCTGAGACAAAGGCCCCTCACCCTGGCCCCTCAGGAGCCTGGAGACTTGTTCATGCCCAGAACAGGGGACACGTGGGCGCGGGGCAGACCAGGGCAGACGCACAGTCTGGGTAGAGAGCAGACTTGGGAAATGGCTTCCTGGTCTGGGCCCCCGAGAATCTGTTACCTGGAGCTATGGGGCTGGGGATTGTCTGAGAACACTCCTGTC